CCCTGTTACAAGGAAAAAAAAATACATGAATTTGAATCCATTTTCTTTTATCCATGAGAAAAATAAAATATCAACAAGGTCAAACTATTCTTAAACCTGAGAAGAATGCGGAAATGGGTATCCAAATAAATTCAGATCACCAAAATACATATTTCCAGTGCCTCCCTGCAGAACAATTCCAGTGAAAAACAATAACTAGATGCATAGAGAGATGGAGATTTCACATTTTAACTAGGAAAAAAAAATTACCCCTTGAGTTGGATATTGCCAAGGTGCTTGACTTGACCCGGATTGAGATGAAAACTGTGGATTCTGAAATGGAATATGATGTGGCGACACATTTCAGGATTGTGGTAGCGCAATGTTAGGGAACTGAGGTAGCGACACATTAGGAACTTGAGGTGGTGACATGTTAGGAACTTGAGTTCGAGGGATATTATCAGATGTGTGTGAGATTTGAATACCTTGTGTACTTTGAACTTTTCTTTTCGATCCCTTTTCACCTGAATTACATTGAATCAAGTTAGTAAAAAAAAAAGAACAATGATTTTTTATTTAAAAGACATTTCAATATTATTTAGCTAAACTTACTTGAAGTACCCCCATGCACCTTAGAATTTCTTTTTTCCTTTTTGTTCTTTTTATCCCAATGACGAATAATGCATGCATTAGTTAATCCTCTTGACTTTGCCGTAAGTGGATTACATATCCGCACACTCTCCACATTACCATCATTTTCAATATCATCATGCATATCCGAACCTTCAAGATTCAAATTTTGAATAAAATCAACAATTTGCTCTCTTGTAGAATCGAGAATTGTGGTCAACATGTTCCGTGCCTCCAAGTGAGTTTTGCTCATATGAGCAAGATCATAGGCCGTTCTCATTGCTTTGTTCACAAAGACTAGATCGGATTCTTCACCACTTCCACAAGAAACATCACTAGCCTTGAAATCATTAGAAACCCTTAACCTTGCACATTTCATCCACCTCTTTAAAAGATAAGCCTCCGGTATCATAGTTACATCCATGGAGTTAAACACCATTAAGACATGCTTACACAAGATTCCCATGGTCTCAAACTTGTGACAACTACACCTTGTCTCGTTATTTTGAGTATTCATCGAAACATGTCTTATTCTTGAGCTATCACCGTGGGATTTCACTCGAAACTCTAGTGAAGTACCATCATTACCAATACTAAAAGGTTGGCCATCAAATTTACAATTCAAAGAATTGACAAGTTCAAGCTCAAACAATCCATAAATGGTAAGCGTGTACATACTAGCAGCATGATCGAGCAATGGGTGGTTCTTAAGAATTTGAGAGGGTTTGCCATGACGACAACGAGTGTCTTCAACCTTTTCTTTTGTGCGCCACTAGTTCTGAACTTTTTCATAATTTATCACGAACTCATACAAAGAGCTATTCTTGCTACCGGCTTGTTTCAAGACTTTATTTGCATTCTCACTCCTCGGTGTAGCCAAAAGACCGGCACTGAATAACTTGTTACTAAAAGCTGTAGCCCATTTTCTCCTAAGCTTGTACATGCCATTCAACCATCTATGATCATGCAAATGATATGAATCGACCATAACCAAGTGTTCTCAAACTCTTCCTCAGATTCACAATGAGACATGCACTTATACCATAAATCCTTGAAAGATGAATTACCATTTAAAGGCCCTAAGTGTGAAGGTGCATTTTGATTTATATGCCACTGACACAAACGATGATGAGAATTCGGGAAAACACTTTCTATTGCATTCATCATGGCTTGGCATTGATCAGAAAATATTATTTGAGGTTGTTTACCATTCATTGAATCAAGAAATGTCGTGAACAACCATTCAAATGAACTTTGAGTTTCATCCGACATAAAAGCCAAGCCAAACAAAACATTATTCCTGTGATGATTTATGCCAATGAATGGAGCACATATCAAATTATACTTATTTGTTCTATAGGTAGTGTCAATGGACAAAACATCACCAAAGTACTCGTAGTCCACCGCACACCTATAATCTCGAAAGAAAAAATTCATCACTCTATCATCGTCATTCAACTGCACATTCCAGTAAAAGAATGGTTCTTTATTTGCATTACTTATAAAATGTTGAAGTAATGCAGTGGCATCCCCATTTTCAATTTTAGTATGCTCATTTAGTCTCCCAAAATGGTTATATGCATCCTTTCTTAGAAAGCCCAAATTTTCAGCCCCATGTGCTTCATTCTCCATATAAGAAACAGCACTAGCAACAGATATTCCAGCATTCACCATTGCTTCTAAAGTTGATTTTTTTGCATGAGAAATATTACGAGCTGACCTTAACAAATCCGTTTGGTCTGGAGCAAACATTTCGTGATTATGTTCAACAACAAATTTACTCACTTGCCAATCTCCCCCTTTCGGTCTATTAATCTTGAGTTGTGCTTTACATGAAGTTCTAGTTATTGGCTTTTGATAAACAGGAATTTTTTTATTAGAATTTTTTTCATCTTTTACACCAGCACATGAACAATCAAAGATCTTTGACTGAATTTCAGTACTACGGGGAAAACAACGTTGATCGCCCTTTCTAACGCTAAATCCTTTAGCATGTGCATATTGACAGTAGAGCAAATAAGCATCTTCAATACTGTTAACAACTGTACCCACGGCTAATTTACTCTCAAGAACATCAACCATACCGATAGAAGATTGTATCTCAACCTGCTCACTAGTCCCTGATTCAAACAGCTCCAATTGCGGCTCTTCAGTTTCAACTTCATATAGATCATGTTCTCCAACATTTGTTCCATCCAGATTTTCAGTTGAGAAGGAATAGATGTTATCCATTTTTCTACAAATATATAAAAAGCAAAAAAAAGGAAAAACAATTTCAGCTTACATGTCTAAATCTGAAAATATTAAAAGTTAATAAACAATTATCAAACTGGAATAAAACTTAATTGAAAACTGAACAACTAAGAAATAGTTTTCTCCTGGATATTAATAAATGGTTTGAGTTCTCAAACCTTCAAATAATTGACAAACATCAAAGTCTGTTAACGTAGTATTTGTGTTTTACTCTAACAATTGCAAACCTTTTATTAATTAAAAATGAAAACCATAGTTGAAGGGTGGAAGTGCACCACCAACAGCACTATCAATTACATAGCATTCACAGTAGCCCATGAACAAAGTTAAAATTAATCTATGCAACAAAAGCTAAGAACAGACTTCACAATATAAAATCACAAACACCATTCACTAAACATTTCCCTAAAAATGCCACAAAAACAATTTACCAAAAATGACAACATTTCCCATAAATGAAGAATATAAAAGAAAAAACAATCATGTTTCTCTATACATTCATGTCAAAACCGGATTAAATGCAACAGGAAAACACGAATCGTACCTTTATGAAAATTCGGGTTTGGGTAAAGACGAACGGACACGGGAGACGGGCAGAGACTACGAGAAACAGGCGGAGACGAGGTTAGGCGGAGACGGGCTTAGGCGAAGACGGGAGGAAGCAAATAGAGACGCCGAGAAACGACCGGAGACAAGCGGAGATGGGCCGGTGACGACCAGTTGATACGGGCGCAGATGGAAGATTTTGATTTTGGGGCTAGGGTTCGAAATTCAAATGCAATTATTTGATGAGTGAATTGAGAAATTTGATTGTAATTTTTTTTTTTTTAATTTAACTAAAAGTTTTGGTTAGGTGAGTGGTAGTAAATTTAACCATGGTGTGTAAGTTTGGTTAAGATTTTCAGCATTAAAAGACAAAAAAAAGTTTATATAAACACGTGTCAGCTGTTGAGCCTGTGAGGGCAGTGCCCTCACAGGTAGGATAGAATTTGCCCTCACAGGTTGGATAGAATTTGCCCGGAACTGCAATCGCCTGTACATTCTGCACTACGTACATCAACATAATTGTCCTCCTAACTGTCATTAGAGGGGAATAAACAATGGCTGCTGGCCCACTACCATGAATGACACCATGAAATAAGGGAAAAATCCATATGAAGTCAAAATGGGGTTCCATCCCAAAACCAATTGGTGGAAGGAGGAGTAGTCCATTAGTCTTATAAGGAGGGTCTATTTTCCATGTATGAACGATGTGGGATAACTCACAAGTGATATTCTAACACGCTCACTCACTTGTGAGTCCTTCGAAAGCCCAAGCCCAACTGAGCTGGGTGCCCCAAGCCCTACTACAAACAGGCTCCCATAAACGGGTACATGGGGGATAAACAATGGGTACGTCATCACACGGTCCAGGATAGAACCGGCTCTGATACCATGACAGAAACTTGGAGAAAATGGGTGCTGGCCCACTACCATGAAGGACACCATGAAAGAAGGGAAAAGCACATATAAAGCCCAAATGGGGTTCCATCCCAAAACCAATTGGTGGAAGGAGGAGTAGCCCATTAGTCTTATAAGGTGGGTCTATTTTCCAGGGTAAAATATACAATTCCCCCTTGTATTATATGAAATCTGCACGTTTTCCCCTGATATTTTAAAAATTGCGTCAAACCCCATTGTATTTAACTAATGATAGCACGATACCCCCCTCTCCGTCCAACATAACGGCGCGTGCGATACACATGCCCGCATTGCAACCGTTATTCATTTTTATCTTATGTTTTTTATTTTAAAATTAAAATTTACTATTTTGTCCATTGAAAAAAAATGAACAAAAATTCAAAAATATCCTTAGTTCATCTTCAACCTCAAATAATAATAAAAATAAAAAAATAAAAAATGAACAAAAATTTAAAACCGTATCTCCTGCTCGATGTCGCCGAGCTCAAGCTCCGGTCCTTCTAGGGATCCCTCATCGCCGAGTTCATCACCCCCCTCGTCCACTGAACCGTCGGGATGTCAAGTCCCACCCCCAAATTTCATTCGAAACCCTAGATCTGAAACAAAATCTAAAGTTTCATCTACCAAATTTCGATGGAATTTCCAGTAGGCAGCAGCGGCAAGAGAAGTCTTCTCTTTCACTTTTTTGGCTCTCGGATCTGAATAGGGAGAGACCTATTGCTCGGAATCTTCTTGCCGCTGGAAAAGAGAGGTAGGAATGCAGGGATTTGTCCATGACGAGGCGAGCTGGGGATATGGGGTTTTTCACAGTGGTGATGCCGGAGACGACGCCGCATCGCCGGCCGCGACCGTCCATGATGCTCACCTCCATCTCCACCACAGGGCCTTCTCGAAGGTGACCCTTCTGTTCTGACACCGGCGTCTCGATCGAGGATACGCTGGGCTCCCTCAAGTTCATCACCGCCGCCGACGACCTCGAAAACGAGGTCTGCGCCGTCCCCGATAAGGGCCCTGCCGCTGTACAGATCGAGGGAGAATTCCTGGGCGACGGCGGATGGAGTCACATATTCGTGGGAGAACTCCTCTTCAACCATTGCCCATATGCATAGACGCCACCTATTTGCTCCCCCAATTTGAGATCTGATTTTTTTCTTTTTTTTAAAAAAAAAAAATGAGGGCCCTTTTTTTTCTTTTTCTTTCTCGCTTTCACACATTGTTGAGCAAAGTATTATGCCCAGAGCCCCAGTTGCCGACTTTCTCTTCCCGTGATTGAATATTTTTCCAATATGCAAATGCAACACTATTTTGTAATTATTCAATTATTTATATATTTTATCTTCTGGGTGGGTGCTGTGTTGTCCATCTGAGCAGATAGGAGAGAAAATTTGACGAGAAGTCAGTTTCTCCAACTCAGGGACATAACGGGAAGTTTGGTAAATATGTAATGGTGTTATCACTGAGACACAAGTTGGGGAGCGTTAGCTGGCCAATACTTAATACAAGGGGGTTTGACGCAATATTTAAATTAGAAGGGGAAAACGCACACATTTAGTATAATACAGGGGGATTTGGTGTAATAAACCCCTATTTTTCATATATGAACGATGTTGGGCAACTCACAAGTGATATTCTAACACGCCCCCTCACTTGTGAGGTCTTCGAAAGCCCAAGCCCAACTGAGCTGGGTGCCCCAAGCCCTACTACAAACAGGCTCCCATAAACGGGTACGCGGGGGATAAACAATGGGTACGTCATCACACGGTCCAAGATAGAACCGGCTCTGATACCATGACAGAAACTGGGGGAATAAACAATGGGTGCTGACCCACTACCATGAAGGACACCATGAAAGAAGGGAAAAACCCATATGAAGCCCAAATGGGGTTCCCCAAAACCAATTGGTGGAATGAAGAGTAGACCATTAGTCTTATAAGGTGGGTCTATTTTCGATGTATGAACGATGTGGGACAACTCACAAGTGATATTCTAACAAGCTATCTCTAAAACAGTGTCTCAAATAACACTGTCACCAGTCTTATCTTGAAAGGGCAAGCCTACAATTTCCTTCCATCTTTGGACTCCAACTCAGACACATTGTTCAAAACCTTTTGAATTTTGTTGGATAACGACTGATTGTGCTCCTCGATGTGGCCCACAACCATATGCAGCTGTCTCTTGTATGTAGCAGCTTGTCTTTCGAAAGTATCGGCTCTGTTTTTTGCGATTGCCAGCTGTAACGATAGCTCCCAGATTTTTTCATGTTCGTTTTGCAAACACAAAAGATAACCATGCAAGACATGAATTTCATTGAAAGAGTAGGAAACAGTTGTACAATATAATAGGTTTACGTCAAAGAAATTATAATATTAGTGCAACACAAACAGATGAAATTTGAAAAAGCAAAACCATGTAACATGTCGTAAGAAAAGATTGTCATACTTTAATTACACACACGTAGAGAGAGAAAGAAGAGAGAGAAGAGAGAAATAAGATTCTCTCAGTTCCAGCACAAAGTGTAATCCATACTTAATGATCAAGTTAAATATGAGCATAAACAGTGTCGGGAAAAGGAGCCTTTGTTGTATCACACAAATTTTTGCCATTGCATAAATGAGCTCATTCATTAGGGCGTGATTGTATATAATCTGTACAGTAAATATCTCACTCAAAATTCAAATTTAACTCAACTCCACTATCTCTAATATTATCAATATAATTAAATAAGTGAAAATAGCTAATTTCACCCCGTTTTGAAGTCCTCCTAAGTTTTTCACACCACCCAATAAAAAGCTAAGTTTTTCACCCCAAAAAGTACGAAGACATATGCGATGAACTATGCGATAGATAGACGACTGGTATGAGCATGGGCGAGAAAATTATGAGTTAAAGTATGCGACTGTTCTGCGACGAGTATGCGGACATTCGATGTACGATTCGGTCAATCGCGGTCCGTCGCCCATTAAATAATTATTCTTGTTAGGCGAATGAATCTGCGACTATTAGTCGAAAAGATTATTCTGCGAGATACGAACGTCGAATATTATTCGCAGAGTTGGTGCATTATAAGGTTTTTTTGTAGAATATTTTTTATCTCTTTCATCTTTCAGTTATGCGATGGGGTATGCGAATTTCCGCATATTGCTCGCATTTCTACTCGAAAGATATTTTTTATTTCTTTCAGTTATTTCAGTTATGCGAGGGGGTATACGTATTGCCGTATATTGCTCGCATATATTCTTCGCACTTCTACTCGAAAGTTAATTTTTATTTCTTTTTCATTTCTTTCACCTTTCAGTTATGAGATGGGGTATGCGAATATCCGTATATTGCTCGCATACCCCACTTCGCACTTCTACTTGAAAGTTTATGTTTTATTTCTTTTTAATTTCTTTCACCTTTCAGATATTTCAGTTATGAGATGGGGTATGCGAATTGCCGCATATTTCTCGCATACCTTCTTCGCACTTCTACTCAAAAGTTTATTTTTTATTTCTTTCATCTTTCATCGTTTAATATAGTTTAATTATTTTCTTTCAGGTATGAGAAATGCCACATACATACAACAAACAACAAAAATATAATAAAATGCAAAAAAAAAAAAGTATTACATGAGTAATTACAGAACTGGGGCGGTAATAATTGTTACATAATAGTTTCATATTCTGTACTAAACTGAAAAATTTGTTGAGCAATTTTGCGCCTCGTGTCTGTAGCCCTCTGCTGGTTAGACTTGTCTACGGGCTTGCTCCCCATTAGCAAAGCTCGTACCATCTCCACAACGCATACACCACAAGAAATTCTATTAGGTTGCAAGATAGTATTTTTGAGGTTCATGATTTTCAAATCGAACTTTTTGCTCACCCTCTCTACTCCCGCATACGTCGCAATCAGTGGAATTAGATTTTGGACTTTTTTGAATGCTTTGACGCGGGATTCGCCAATGTGCTTGTCCGCCTTTTTTTGATACGTATGCCGTAAGGGGTCATATACATATATTGTCCCCTCGAGTAAATGGATCTAGAAAGCTACGTAGTGCTCCGACAAATTCGCAACTCCAATAATCTGTTGCATTGAGTTGTGAGAAATTCACTAATTTTTTAGGAAAGATTGCAATATTAATTGATTTGGAATCATTGAAAACTTACAGATGTAATATCCCTCCAAATAGACGGATTCCCCCAATCGCTGACCCCCTCATTCGCACAGCGAATCAAAGATTGGAGGTTGTCTGAGTCCGCTAGCTCCTTTTTAGCATGGACCTCCTTCTCCAATTCCCCCAGATCCACTATATAAAATACAAAAAAATAATAAATAATAATGTAATTAATATAATTATTAATAAAAATTGAATGACAAGGAAAAGAGAAAGGATTAAAATAATCTCACAAAAAACGTAGTCGGCACGATGGTATAAGTGCCCAACATCTCGACCGGTGGCTCCACCTCCAAAAAATCTGGATTGCTTTGCATAATCCCCAAGTATGCATTCACGTGCTGTTTTATAAAATCAAACCAAACATCATCCACCAATTCATTTTTATACGTTAAGATATTATTACAAGACAAACATATACATACATCCTCCTCCATCATTGTAGCCGGATCAATCAAATCCTTAAACCAGTCCTGGCCCACCTCATATTTAATGCCGACATTCCTCCTATTAAATAATATAATAAAAAGTTATTTTTTGTAAAAAATATAAACAATAAAAGATCTTTTGGATGTACTTACATTTCTGGCTTCGTGGATTTGAGGAACTGTGCAAACGCGCGGTCATCTTTGGCATACCGTCTGTTTTCGTCGGGACGATATGGACTTACAACAGCACGTCCAAGAAGTGGACTGCAGCACTGGTGTCTCGGGGACGGGATTGGGGACGATTGTCTTGGAGGTGGAGGGGTTGGCGGCGGTTGCCTCGGAGGTGGAGGTGGGATCGACGGCTGTCTCGGTGAGGGAATTGTGGACGGCTGTCTCGGAGGTGGGAGTGGGGGCACGCTGTCTCTTTGGGGAGGGGGGGTGGGGGAATGCTGTTTCTCATTGGAGGGGGGGAACGAGGTCTCGTCGAGTTGACGGCTAGCTGGGACTCGGGAGGAGGCTGTCTCAGAGGGGAGTGCGACAGATTGACCAACTCCTGTCGAATAATAGTTGGCACCTCCCGTAGAATGATTGCCGACACCTCAGAGGATATTCTGGCTATAACATTAGCCATTTCAGCCGGTACGCACGCCCGAATATCCTCAATAAAGGCCGACCCATCTGTTGGCCTCACCTCCTCCCGGTGCATCGGACTATCTTCACCCTCAGTCCGGGCCCGCTTCCTCGGGTTAGCCCGTCGCAAAAATTGAGGCCCCTCAACATTCAAATTCGAGATGTTCAACACGGAAATCTTCTCCTCATGCAGATTCAGCTTCTCATGCACCTCCAACTAAATTTAAAAAAATAGAACATAAAAATAAAGAAATCATCAGAAGACGTTAAGACTTACAAAAGAATTTCGGATATCACTTGCTAATGATTCCAATAAAAAATGTTTAGGATCAAATAATACCTGTTGGTCAAAATATGTATCTAGAAGGGTGACCCTCGGGAATTTCCAGTGAACCAGCCGTGATGGATGTCTCACCGAGGTACGTGTTCCACATGTACGGCCTAATTCAGGGATTGCCTCGTAGCACCATACTAGAAACGCTCAGTGAAATCCGTAGATATGATATTTCATTTTACTATACTGGGCCGACTTCAAGTACTCCAACAGGTACTGAAACGAGTAACTCCCCCATGGGAATTTCTCCCACATCTGGTCTTCCTCAAGCAAATCCCACCAGCAGCTATCAATATACCGAGGCTTCTTGTCGTCATGAGGAATGATAAAGTACACCAGCATTAGCATCTTCGCCACTCTCACTATCACATCCCGAGAGGTACGGAACTGCCCCGCCATGAAATCATCACGCAAATTCTGCATAGTGATCCGTTTGCCTTTATATTTCTCAATGAAAATCGACGATGGAGGAGGAGGAGGCGCTGAGTTCGGGTCAAACGCAAACGATCCAAAAGCAAGCCCGGTCACCACAGCATACTCATGGGCGGA